GTACCCTGCCCTGAACCTTAGAGACTGCTGCCCTATGTACATAGTCAATGAACACTGGTCACTTTGTTTACATACTGTATTCTAGTCAAGGCTCATCCTATATAACTACTGCTGTACACACCTTTTCTATTAATATACTATCCTTACTGTCTATACACACCATTATACAGCTCCCACTCTGACATTGCTCATTCTGATATTTCTTAATGTCTTTCTATTTTAACTTTTTGGATTATGTGTGTATTGTTTATTTTTGTATTTCTAGGTATTGCTGCACTGTTGGGAGTTAAAAACACAAGCATTTCGCTGCACCTGCGATATCTGCAAATCTGTGTACGCGACCAATAAAACTAGATTTTGTTATCTGTGGTTTATGCAAGTGGATTACATAGTGATAATAACTTAACATTGCTCAAGACACCTCTGTCTGTGTTCTCATCCAAACTCACTCTAGTTAGGAATGTATTGGTTTAAAACAGACAGGAAACAGACAGGGGTTCTGCTCTTACCCCAGCCCATAGCCTCGTCATGCTCACAGTAATGACTAGGGTTTCCCAAACTCTGCCCTCGGGACCACAAGGGGTGAAAGTTTTGGTTTTTGCCCCAACACTACACAGCGGATTCAAATTATCAAACCTTGAGGAGTTGGTTATTTGAATCAGCTGTGTAGTGCTATGGCAAAAACCAAAATGTGCACCCCCGAGGACTGAGTTTGGGAAATCCTAGTCATTACTGTGAGCATGACAAGGCTATGGGGTAAGAGCAGAACCCCTGTCTGTTTCCTGATGTCCATTTAGAGGGGCTTAGCTTTTTAAACCAATACATTCCTAACTAGAGTGAGTTTGGATGAGAACACAGACAGAGGTGTCTTGAGCAATGTTAAATTATCACAATGTAATCCACTCATCAATCTCAAGTCTCTCGAGGTGACTGAAGGTAGACTGTTGTGTAGCAGAAATAGGATATCCAACTACTAGGTTAAGATGAGTACCTGAGACATTGCATTCACTTTTCCAGTCCTTTCATGTTACCCTAGGTACCAGTCTGTATGTGCCATCATGCCACTCATTGTCAAGCCAAACATGTCTGGCTTGACAATGAGCAAGAGAGTTAGCAAGAGCACAAACAGATCTGGGACCAGGCTACTTTCAAGTCAGCTGTGAATGGAAAAAATTATTTCAGTTGTACTCTGACTGATGTCTTGCCAGTTGCCTTACTGGGTACCCCATTAGTGACCTCTAGACTAGAGGGCATTATTTGGAATGCATCTCCAACCTAGAGAGAATAAAGAGAGAGATGGAAAGAAATACAGCTACCAAATAGAGCTATCATAGACAAGATGGAAAGAACAACTCAGACACACAGACCTTAGGAGGTGGAAAGACAAATTGACAAAGACAAATTCACAAGATAAATTTAGATCAACCTTTTTAATCCATCTTCTTCAACAGTGACACAAAGCATCAACAGCAATACATTCACATAAAAGTGTCACATACAGGGGAAAGAATCCTGTATGTTCTGTTTGGACTCCTTGGACTAGTCCCACCACCCAGACACTCAGAGATCCCATAGATAACTCAGCTAGGGGTGTGTTCAGAAGGCTAACGAATGGTACTGTAACAGCCCATACGTGTTCTAGAACACACGCGAAGCTTCTAGAATCTAGAGAAGACATGGCTGTTGAAAGAGGCTACATTTATCATATCTGTAGCGACAGAGAGCACATGTAGCCAACTACCTACATTAAGTTCAAAATGTGAGAGAAATTTAAATCACTTCACAACGTATTAACCTGTCATTTCTATCAGCCCCAATGGCTGTTAACTTAACAAATAGGAGTGGTTTTGAGAGATTTTTTGACCACAACAAAACCAATGACAACTCAGATTCATCTAAGTACCATGCAGTAACAATGTAATAAACCTCAGCTCTGAAAGGAGGTCATAGTGAAGTGGATTTGGAATGGAGGAAGGTTTCGTTCACACAACACATACAGTGTACAAAACATGAAAAACACCTTCCTAATATTGAGTTGCACCCCCTTTTGATCTCAGGACAGCCTCACTTCGTCGGGGCAGGGATGCTGGCCCATGTTGACTCCAATGCTTCCCACAGTTGTCAAGTTGGCTGGATGTCCTTTGGGTGGTGGACCATTCTTGATACACACGGACATCTTTTGAGTGTGAAAAACCCAGCAGCATTGCAGTTCTTGACACAAACCAGTGCCCCTGCCCTGGCACCTACTACCATACCCCATTCAAAGGCACTTCAATCTTTTGTCTCGCCCATTCACCCTCTGAATGGCACACATACACATTTACATTTTAGTCATTTAGCAGATGCTCTTATCCAGAGCGACATACAGTAGTGAGTGCATACATTTTCATATTTTGTTTGTACTGGTCCCCCATGGGAATCGAACCCACAACCCTGCCGTTGCAAGTGCCATGCTCTACCAACTGAGCCACACGGGACCACAATCCCTGTCTGAATTGTCTCAAGGCTTAAAAATCCTTCTTTAACCTGTTTCCTCCCCTTCATCTACACTGATTGAAGTGGATTTAACAAGTGACATCAATAAGGGATCATAGCTTTCACCTGGATTCACTTGGTCAGTCACTTTATGTAATGGAAAAAGTTCCTAATGTTTGTATACTCAATGTATACAAGCGCACACTTCCTCAAAGCACACCAATGAGGGTGGCAGTACCAAGATTACATTTAAGATCCTATAAGTTAGTTTTGATATACAATCTCTTAACTGAATATTGTTTCAAACCAGGGCAGTTTGTTGCAACTGAAAATCTAGAAACCTAAAGGCACAATCATTAACATGCGCAGGAAAAAATCTATAAATAAATAAAAATACCAATATCTTAAATCTAGGAAAAACTAAAAATGTCCAAAAAGCAGACTAAAGCTGCACAATTTAAATAAAGTATCTAAAAAAAAAACTAATGTGTTCAGCACTTGTGGAAATTCAAGAGCACAGTGTGAGGGTGCAAGCTTTAAAAGGTTTCTGAGTGTAAAGAAAGAAAGAGAGAAATCAAAAGAAAATGAAGAGAAATCAAAAGGGAGGGGAAGAGAGGGAGGGGAAGAGAGGGAGGGGGGAAGGGAGAAAGGGAGGGGAAGAAAGGGAGGAGGGAGGGGAAGAAAGGGAGGGAGGGAGGGGAAGAAAGGGAGGGAGGGATGGGAGCGGGGAAGAAAGGGAGGGAGGGGAGGGAAAGAAAGGGAGGGAGGGAAAGAAAGGGAGGGAGGGAAAGAAAGGGAGGGGGGAAAGAAAGGGAGGGATGGGAAAGAAAGGGAGGGAGGGAAAGAAGGGAGGGAGGGAAAGAGAGGGAGGGAGGGAGGGAAAGAGAGGGAGGGAGGGAGGGAAAGAGAGGGAGGGAGGGAGGGAAAGAGAGGGGGGGAGGGAAAGAGAGGAGGGAGGGAGGGGGGAGGGGAAGAGAGGGAGGGGGAAGTGAGGGAGGGAGGGGAAGAGAGGGAGGGGAAGAGAGGGAGGGGAAGACGAGGGAAGAGAGGGAGGGGAAAGGGGAGGAAGGGAGGAGGGGAGGGAGGGGAGGGAGGAAGGGAGGGGGAGGGAGGAAGGGAGGGGGAGGGAGGGAGGGAGGGAGGGAGGGGAAGGGAGGGAGGGAGGGGAAGAGAGGGAGGGAGGGGAAGAGAGGGAGGGAGGGAGGGGAAGAGAGGGAGGGAGGGAGAGGGAGGGAGGGAGGGGGGGGGAGGGAGGGAGGGAGGGAGGGAGGGAGGGGGGAGGGAGGGGAGGGAAGAGAGGGAGGGAGGGAGGGGAAGAGAGGGAGGGAGGGAGAGGGAGGGAGGGGAAGAGAGGGAGGGAGGGAGGGGGGGAGGGAGGGAGGGAGGGGGGGAGGGAGGGAGGGGGGGAGGGAGGGAGGGGGGAGGGAGGGGGGGGGGGGGGAGAGGGGGGAGGGAGGGAGGGAGGGGGGGAGGGAGGGAGGGGAAGAGAGGGAGGGAGGGAGGGGAAGAGAGGGAGGGGGGGAGGGAGAGGGAGGGAGGGAGCAGAAGATGGGGAGGGGGAGGGGAAGGGAGGGGGAGGGGAAGAGAGGGAGAGAAAGAGAGGGAGGGAAAGAGAGGGAGGGGGAGGGAGGGAGCGCTTCCAGTGGATCACCATACAAGGAGCGGAAACAAGCTCAGGTTAGGTTGAGTCATACACAGGCACACACACTAATATTGAGAAAACATAACGACCACAGACATCATCCTACACATGTACTACGTACTCATCCTAATGAACACCCACTGCTTATAAAAGCCGATATGAACACACACTTTCACACATTCAACAGTCTATAAATAAGACTATTCAAACGAAAATTCAAGTTTTCATCGTTTTTAAAAGTAGCTTATAAAAATCAAATAAAAATTAGGCACAATTTCTCATTTTAAGCACATCAAGGCAATCTGAACCAGTAGATTTGTTAAGAACGGTACCGTAGTAGGTGCTTAGAAACCAATGAGCCTCGGTAAAACTCAATGAAAGACATTGTCTGAAACGTCAGCAGGGGATAGTTGTTGTTCCTCTTCAGGTGTTTCAGTACATAGAGATGAAACGTGTCATCTCTATGTTCAAGTACCATGGTTCAGGACATCAGGTCAGGAGATGGGGGTCAGGAGGTCAGGAGGTGGGGGTCAGTACTCAGTAGATCCTGTGAAATGAACTCTTTCTCCTCTGTGATGGTCTTCCAGTGGATCTGTACAAAGAACGCTGACACACGGCATAAACTAATACACTCAGCCATACGTGGAACTAGTTCATGTCATCTGCACATGAAAAGTCCTTTCTAAAGACAACATTATGGAACTACACAGACTTTGTATAATCCGCTATCACGATCACATAGTAGTTTACATTATGACTACACAAACCTTGTGACAAATGTGAAACACGTGCTGAATGTAAACAGTGTGATGACACAGCTGTTATTTGTGTGACTGGTGTAGATGTTATGTTCTAAGGGGCTAAATGCTTCACCTGTTGGTGGTTAATCAGGGTCCCCCTGCCCCCCCTCACTCTGGCCGGAGTCTCTCCGGGGGCGGGGCATAGCAGCAGTACCCAGGAGCCCCCTCCTCACGATGTACGGACAGGCAAGACCACTGGGGATGTCAGCAAAACCTGGAGGAGGGAGAGAAGGAGCAATGTGAACATTTAGTAGTGTTTATATAATGCTAGTGGGGAGGTGGTATGTTTACTAGGGGTAGTAGGAGGAAGACATGGGTTGTTCCCATCCCACAGGTTAAGCTCATATCTGTTATGTCTGTAGGGTCTGATGGAGAGTTGGTTTGGTTAGAAGGGTTGATGCTTTGAGCGGCTGTCATAGCAAGTATGGGAGAGTTGTATTTGTAACTAGTGGAAAATACAAACACAGATCTTATGATAACCCACAGTGGTAAAGAATGGTAAGCTGATTGTAACAGTATTTTAGGATCATAAAATACATTGGTTTCACCTCTGGCCAACAGTAACAACCCCCCTTAGCTGTGACATTCAAATATACAGCATCAACAAAACACCACCCCTGTCCCCGCTCTTCTCACCTTTCATGACCACCTCGGGCAGGCCGTAGGGTTCGTACTCCGTATCATCGTACGCTGCAGACATCTGAGTCCGGTTACGACGGATACGCTCCGCCAGACGGGCTGGGTCGGCAGGGATCGGGAAGGAACCAGAAAACAATATCCTGTCCCCCTCGGCCTCAGACATCTGGACTGGTGACACAGGGGGTGATTCTGTGGGTTCTTCATCATTCTCCTCCTCTTCCTCCTCCTCCGTCTGTGTGTATACGTGGTGTGTTTCTGGTAGAGTGGCTGGAGGAGGAGGCGGCTGTGTCGGTGTCCAGACTCCTGTTGCTCCCCCCTCCTCTGTCTGAGAGCTGGTACTCCTCACCTCTACAGAGGTCAATCTCTCTTGACCTGTCCATCCTGCTGGTATGACCTTTGAACTCAGAACCTTGGTCTCCACTATCGTTCTCTCAGTTTGCCACTCTGATGTGGTGGTTGTGGTGGTGACTTTTCTACGGACTGAGGAGTGATTTTTATTCTCAACACCAGTGGAGATTGGTTCCTCTTGATGGTGACTGGGATGGTTGATTTCAGAGGACTGTGATTCAGTGGATTGAGCCTCAGCGAGAGATAGAGTGGGGAACTCTATGAGGTTATCTAGTTCTATGACGTCTAGATTGTGCCTTGAGCTGATTTCTTTGGTCTGGGTTTCATCTGTTGCTCTGGGAGTGTTTGGATTGGTCTTGTTTTCTGGATGATCTTGGTTAGCGTGCTCTGTTGCCTTGGTCTGGAGCTCTGAGGTCTGGGGAACATCTGGTTCTTCATCTCTGCCATCTTCTCTATGTTCATTGGTCAGTTTTTCCGTCTCTTGGTGATGTGTAGATTTGGTCTTTCTGGATGAGTTTTGGAGACTCTTTGCTTCATTAGAATTGCAGTGATGCAGTCTGGACCAATAAAAAAAGATCAATCAAATTTAGATTCAAACTTTGAAACCTCCATAGACAGAACATGAAAACTACTCATCACAGAAAGTGTTACAACCAGATTAATTAAATGAATAACAAAAACCGTTCATTGCAAATGTCAATCAAGAATTTGTGCGTAGCCCCTGTGTGTTACCTTGAGGCCAGGGTCCTACCATACAGTCTACTGGAGGTACAGGAGAGAAGCAGCTCATCCTCTCTGATCACCGTCACACTGTTGTGTTGTCCAGGGCTGAGGGTAGCAGTGTTGTGTCCAGGGCTGAGGGTAGCAGGGCTGAGGGTAGCAGTGTTGTGTCCAGGGCTGAGGGTAGCAGCGGTGGGGTCCTCTGGGTCCAGACAGGGGGGCTGGACCATCAGCCTCCACAATGCCAGCTCCTCAGCCTGCCTCTGGTTCTCCTCAGAGAGAGACTGCAGTTCAGCCTGCAGCGCCACCACCTGGACAGGAGGGGAGAGAGAGAATAACATTCAGGAGAAGTTCAAAATCAATTTATTCAAAATAGTAAGCTTGTATAAAGCATTCTGTATTAGGGTTTGTGGACAACCACATGCTTAAGATATGAGAGGAAATTGTTCAAGTATTTATGGTAACTTACATTGATAACTACTTTCACAGTAAGATTTAGCGTAAATAAACCTACCTGCTTCTCTAGGCAGGTTATCTGGAGTGGAGCCAGTGGAGTAGTGTCTAGTAGAGTCTCATCCCCTGCCCTCATCTCCCTCTCTCCTTCCAACTCTACTCCCCCTCTCCCCTCATCCCCAGCTTCCGTCTCCCTCTCTCCTTCCAACTCTACTACCCCTCTCTCCTCATCCCCAGCTTCCGTCTCCCTCTCTCCTTCCGACTCTACTACCCCTCTCTCCTCATCCCCAGCTTCCGTCTCCCTCTCTCCTTCCAACTCTACTCCCCCTCTCCCCTCATCCCCAGCTTCCGTCTCCCTCTCTCCTTCCAACTCTACTCCCCCTCTCTCCTCATCCCCAGCTTCCGTCTCCCTCTCTCCTTCCAACTCTACTCCCCCTCTCCCCTCATCCCCAGCTTCCGTCTCCCTCTCTCCTTCCAACTCTACTCCCCCTCTCTCCTCATCCCCAGCTTCCGTCTCCCACTCTCCTTCCGACTCTACTCCCCCTCTCTCCTCATCCCCAGCTTCCGTCTCCCTCTCTCCTTCCAACTCTACTCCCCCTCTCTCCTCATCCCCAGCTTCCGTCTCCCACTCTCCTTCCGACTCTACTCCCCCTCTCTCCTCATCCCCAGCTTCCGTCTCCCACTCTCCTTCCGACTCTACTCCCCCTCTCTCCTCATCCCCAGCTTCCGTCTCCCACTCTCCTTCCGACTCTACTCCCCCTCTCTCCTTGTCTATGGGTTTCCCTCCATCCTGCAGTGTGGCCTCCCGTCCCGAGGTGATGTCACTGACGTGCTCTAGCTCTCCAGAGGTGGAGATAACTTCCTGTCCTCCTCTCTGGTTCTTTCTTTTCCTTCCCTTTGCTTTTCTTTCAGCCTGGTCTCCACAGGAGGCTGCTAGTGTTGTGTTACTGACAGAACTAGTTTCTCCGTCTGTGTTTGCCACATCTTGAAGTTTCAATTTCAGCAGTTGGTTCTTCTGTTTTAGAGACTGCAGCTCTTCAGCAAGACTCTCTCCTCCACTATCTTTTCTCTCCTGTCCACTGGTGTCTTCTGGCCTGCTGATAGGACCAGAAGCTTTCTCCAGCTCTGCAGTAAGACGTGTGTTCTCAGTACTCAGGTCTCTCTGGGATAGCTGCAACTCCTCAGTACCTCTCTTAAAGGCAGGGCTGTCCTTGGTTGAATGTTGTTCTTCACTACGGATGTGTTTCATCTCAGAACTCTCAGACTGTTCCATCTGCTCTTTGGAACATACGACAGTTAAATTGTCAGATATGAATTTCTCTTTGTTTTTTGTCTCTTCACTCCTGCCTGGCTGGGCAGAAGCCTTAGAATCCACCATCTTCTCTGTATTATGTTCAGCAGGATGGCTGCCCAGGGTGGTAGTGCTATCTGTTACATCATGCGATTCTGTGACACCGTTTTTCTGTGGAGTGGTCAGCTGACCTCCCTCATCACAAAGTGTAGAGGAAGCCTGGGTAGTGTTCAGTGGTTTCATTGTTATGTCTGTACTCTCTTCTATCCCAGAGGCAGACTCATTCTGAGTGCTATGGGTGATCTGATGTATATCTGTGTTATGGTCAGCCTGCTGAGGGGTTATAGTGGCCCTACCTTCCTCTAGCTCCTCCTTCTGTCTCTCTTCCTCCCTTTTCTCTGTCTCCCTCTCCGGTCTCTCCCTCTCCTCTCTAAGCGTGGCCAGTTCATCTCTGCAGCGCTGCAGTTCCTGTCCCTGCCTGAGAAGTCTGCCCTCCTTCTCCTGCAGCTCTGCCAGCAGGTCCTGGATATGTCTGCTCTGGTGGTCGAAGGCCAGGGTCAGCTGCTGGGTCTGCCTGGTCACCTGGCTCTGTAGAGCCTCCAGCTTGGCCTGGGTGTGCATGGCTCGCCCAGCCTCCCTGGCACTCTCCCCCCGCAGACGCTCCACCTCCTGGGCTAGCTCTGAGGCAGAGAGGCCTCCACTCTGGAGCTCCACTGGGGTTTTCTCCATGTCTGAGGTCTCTCCCTGGTCTGAGGAAGATATCCCTTTCTCGGCTTCCACAGTGGTTTCACCCAGCTCAGAGGCAGACACACTCCTCTGGGCCTCCACAATGGTCTCTCCCTCACCAATAGGTTTGGAGAGTTCTGGCGCTTTGGTCAGAGTTCCTTCTTCCCGGATCAGATCAGCTGTTGTTGCCTGCGAGACAGTGGTGGACTCACACAGGAGATGGTGCTGGTCTGGAGATGGTAGTAGCTTGTTGTTGTTGGAGTTAGAGTTGATGTCTTGGTGCAGGGTGAGATATGTCAGAGGGGTGTTTTTATCTACCACGTTCTTCACTTCAAGACATTCACGGTTCTTCAATTCCTCCAACTCTGCCAGGAGCTCTTCCAGCTTGACAGTCAGGTCGATCGTTCCTTCTGTCCCTTTGTTTTTCAATCTCTTCCTCTCCTCCTTTCCTCTTTCTCTCTCCTCCTGTTCTATCAAGAGCTCCGTCTTCAACTCAGCCAGCTGCTTCTTTAGCTGGAGGTTCAGCAGCATGCTTTCAGACTCCCGGTCCTCTCTCTCCCTCTCTTTCCTTTCCTCTGCATCTCTCCTGACCTTTATCTCAAGTTCAGCCAGTGCCTCCTTCAATCTCCCCATCTCGACCCTCTCCTCCTCCGTCTCTCTGGTGGTCTCAGCCTGGGAGGCGTGTTTGCGGCTGAGCTGCTTGAGCCTGGTCCTGGCCTCGGCCTCCGCTCTGCGCTGGGTCTCCAGATCCTCCAGTCTCCTTTGTAACTCATCCTTAACGTCCTGCAGCTCTGAACGCAGCTCTCTGTTCTCCCTCTGTAGGTCTCCCTCAGCCCTGGTGGTCTGGGCTCGGGGTTTGGAGTGGCTGGACAGGGTCTCGCTCTCGTAGTCTGTGTCGGAGCTAGCAGAGCTGGTGAGGTGGGGACTTTGGTCTGTTGGAGAAAGAGAGCTCGGTGTGTTGAGTGCGTTTTTGTCCTTGGTGGATGTTTCCTTTCCAGGGATGCAGCCATCTACTACCGACTCTGCCTCCTCTTTTCTCTCATTCTCTCGTTTCCTCTCCTCCCCGCTCCCCCTCTCTCCTGCCCTCTGTCGTTTTTCAGAGTCTGTGGATCCAAACGCAGTGATGTGTTCTGAGTCGATGCCCTCTCCAGGTTCTCTCTCTGTGGGGTACTTTGCTCTCCGTTCCTCATTCCCTCTCTCCTCCTCCTCCCTCGCTCGCTCCTCTCTGGCAGGTCTGTTGGTCTGAGCCGAGGGTGTGTGTGGGGTGGGGCGGCCATGTCGTGGGGGTGAGACCAGGGCAAAGCTCTGTCCTGCAGGGCTAAACGGGACTGGAGCCATTGGAGCAGCAGAGGGCTGGACTGTCTTCTGGTCTGGAAAGGGGAATAGGGCAAGAAACAAGGGAGAGACAAATAAACCAAATTACTAATTATTATTTTATTATTATTATAATTTAAACTGGATTGTTAGGGTGTCATACCACTGAAGGTCAGCAGGTGGCAGCAGTAACACAATGATAGCTTGTGCAGCTCAAAGGAAGTTAGTGAGAAAAAAAGTATTCTGAAAGTCATAAACGGTTTGGTGTAGGATTTCACTCTTTTGTTAACTCAAACATGTCAATTTCAGGCAACAGCATTGTCTATTGTCTCTTTTCATAAAGGGTAAACATCCCATTATCAACAACAGCCCTCCTCCCACCCTCCCCCTCACCTTCTAGTTCTGTGATGCGTCGGAGGGCCTCAGCCAGCTCCTCAGTCAGCTTCTTCACCTCCTCCTCCAGTATCTTCTCTCTCCTCCTGTTCTGCTCCAGTGTTACATTCAGCCCCTCCCTCTCACGCACCGACTCCTATAGGAGAGCAATAGGAGAGAAACAGCACACATTCACATGCATGAAGTCAATAACTTATGTAATAACTATGCAACTTTTAATAACCAACCTATTCTTTAGATAACAGAAGCCAATTCAATAGCAATAACATATGGACTTAAACAGATACTGCTAAATGATTCAGTGACTTCATAACGTGGCCACTGCTAAGTTCATGCATAATACATTGACGTGTCTAGACCAAGGACACAAGAGTCTGTCCGTCTGCAGTTCATAATTGTGTGTCTATACCGTTAGTTTGTCTTGCGTTTGGGACTCTTTCTTCTGGCTCTCCTTCAGTTCCCCCTCAGTCCATTTGACTTTCTCTTTCAGAGCGTCTACATCCCTCTCCAACGCCTGCTTCTGAAGGGACACCTGGGAGAGAGATGAAGTACAGGAATATTACTCCATAATTGAGGAAGGAAGTACTCACTAAGGAAAAGGTGGGGACTGGGGAGGACTATGAGAAGATTACATATAAAAGGAAGTTTTTCTACTAACTCTTGAGGAAAGGGCAAAAGGAAACAATGGAAGGAAGGTCCTGTTGTATCCGTCTAAAGGACAGGTCCTGTTGTATCCGTCTAAAGGACAGGTCCTGTTGTTTCGGTCTAAATGACAGGTCCTGTTGTTTCTGTCTAAAGGACAGGTCCTGTTGTATCCGTCTAAAGGACAGGTCCTGTTGTATCCGTCTAAAGGACAGGTCCTGTTGTATCCGTCTAAAGGACAGGTCCTGTTGTATCCGTCTAAAGGACAGGTCCTGTTGTATCCGTCTAAAGGACAGGTCATGTTGTATCCGTCTAAAGGACAGGTCCTGTTGTATCCGTCTAAAGGACAGGTCCTGTTGTATCCGTCTAAAGGACAGGTCATGTTGTATCCGTCTAAAGGACAGGTCCTGTTGTATCCGTCTAAAGGACAGGTCATGTTGTATCCGTCTAAAGGACAGGTCCTGTTGTATCCGTCTAAAGGACAGGTCCTGTTGTATCCGTCTAAAGGACAGGTCCTGTTGTATCCGTCTAAAGGACAGGTCCTGTTGTATCCGTCTAAAGGACAGGTCCTGTTGTATCCGTCTAAAGGACAGGTCCTGTTGTATCCGTCTAAAGGACAGGTCCTGTTGTATCCGTCTAAAGGACAGGTCCTGTTGTATCCGTCTAAAGGACAGGTCCTGTTGTTTCTGTCTAAAGGACAGGTCCTGTTGTATCCGTCTAAAGGACAGGTCCTGTTGTATCCGTCTAAAGGACAGGTCATGTTGTATCCGTCTAAAGGACAGGTCATGTTGTATCCATCTAAAGGACAGGTCATGTTGTATCCATCTAAAGGACAGGTCATGTTGTATCCATCTAAAGGACAGGTCATGTTGTATCCATCTAAAGGACAGGTCATGTTGTATCCATCTAAAGGACAGGTCATGTTGTATCCATCTAAAGGACAGGTCATGTTGTATCCATCTAAAGGACAGGTCATGTTGTATCCATCTAAAGGACAGGTCCTGTTGTATCCGTCTAAAGGACAGGTCCTGTTGTATCCATCTAAAGGACAGGTCATGTTGTATCCATCTAAAGGACAGGTCCTATTCTAGGATGAAAACATCTCTCTGATGAATCAACAGCCACACAATGTGCAGTTAGCTACACACCAAGCAGACAGATGGGAAAACGATCAAATCCATCAGATACACAGCAAACTACATGTAAACATGATTTCTTACTTACATGATGTAACACTCAAAACATTGGATCCACTTCCATGCCATGGATAAACACAACTGATGAATACCCCTACAAATGGATCATTTGATCAACCAATTTGAGGTTAATCAATTTGTGCAATGTCATTGTTGTGGCATTCACTGGTCTGGAATACACATGCTTATATTCCCCATGCTCAGACAAAGCCCTACAGTCTTTGGTCCGTTTAACTCTCATAACATAAGTGGCCACTTTAAAAGCAACACGTGAGCAGATTAAAAAGCTTATCAGTAATACAATATTATGTCAATCTGATTTGCCGCAGCTAGCTAAACCATATGAACTGTAGCTGTATTGTGTTCAGTGTGTATTCGAGAGTGAGGAAGAGAATGGATGTGTCCCAAATGGCACCCTATTCCACATCTATGTGCCCTGGTTAAAAGTAGTGCACTATTAAGGAGAATAGGGTATCATTTGGGACTTAACCAAGTAATGCCTTATCAGATTGAACTAGATGCGATACATTACTGAGGGCAGGCCTGCGGTTGTTTTACTAGACCGTGGTGACTGACTGGAGAAACTGAAAGTGATTCATTGTTTATCATTCATGAATTAGAGCTTGAAAAGCTAGACATGTGTAGAGGTGGGGAAGGGACATCTTCTCAGTAAGTATTAAGTAGCACATGTTAGCCTGGAATAGCCAAGCATCTCTTTTATTGTAATGTACAGCCATTTTGAAATGCACACCAAAAACACACCATTCCTTAACCTTCATGCACCGCCACATGCTCATCCAGCCTCTAGTGTAAATATCCCTCATGCCTCCACCCCTCCTTGGATGACAATGATGACTATGTCAAGGTGAGTTATGTTTCCCAGATGACAACAGCAGATCAAGTCAAAAGGTTCTGAACACAGTCAGTCACACCAGTATTACCTTCACCGCTCAACACTCCACTGGGACAAACCAAGATGGGAGGAAAAGAAACACAGAAAGCAAGAAAGAAAACAACACGCAAGGTCAAGAAAGAGAAGAGAAACATTAGTTCATTGACCTTGAGAGCAGCACATAGCTGAACTCCATTGTGTGAGACTGAGAAGGGAGAGAGAAAGAGAGAGAGAAAAGGGAGAGAACAAGAGGTAAGAAAGTAGAGAACAAAGAGTTCAGACAAGACATTTTGAAACAGTGAAGTACCTTCTCAGACTGGGCCTGTAGTGTGTTGTGTAGTGTCCTGGCCTGCTGGACTTCCTGGTTCAGTTTGTTAACATCCAGCTGGTGCTGTTTCTCCACAGACTGACACTCTTTCTGCAGCTCCAACAAGTCCTGCAATACACCCAACATCATGGGCATCATCAGTAGAGTAGACAGAATCCCCATCTGTGTCCCAAATGGCATCCTATTCTCTACTATGTAGGGCACTACCCTATGGGCCCAGGTCAAAAGTAGAGCACTATTTGGGGAATAGAGGGATAATGTTTTAATAACCGAATGCTTTAACACTTTGAACTCAATACACACACGGAGTTGACACTAGACTTTTCCCCATATCACCTTACACACCATCACAGCTGGGTGGGTAGCTACAGGAGCGTATGAGAGGTTCAGACGCACACACAGCCTCTCTCCCTTCTCCTCACCCTCTGGTGTTGTTTGTCCAGGTCTCTGGTGCGTTGCTGGTGCTGCAGCCGGCTGCTCTCAGTGTTCTGTCTCTGACACTTCAGTTCCTCCTGCAACTGCTTCACACGCTGCTCCAACGACTGGGCCTGGAGAGGAGGCACACAGTATAACAATGTGATAGGTGTGACTGTGTCCCTCTGCCTTGGCAGTCACACTCTTGCGTGCAGTGTGTTTGGCAGTCACTCATGCCTGTGTGTTTCATACAGTGTAAGTGTGTGTGTATCCAAACCCGATCGCTCTCCTGTGAGATGCGCGTGTGAGCGAGGCTCAGTTCGTCCTTTGTCCTCTGTAGACTCTGTTCTCTGGTGGTCAGGTCTCTCCTGGCGTTGGCTAGAGCGTCCTGGGTCTGTCTGAACCGTTCACACTCAGCCTTCAGCTCCCCTTGAAGGGCACGCATACGCCCCTGCAGCTCTGCTACACAACCTGACACTAGGGAGAGATGGAGAGAGAGAATGTTCCGTTTGCTTTGGCATTTTGGCAATGTGAGTTCTTTCTTACACATTTAATGTCAACAAAGGGTTGTGAATTGAATGTAATTTATTTGAGTGTGTTAGGGATTCATGGTAGATACGTAGTGGATGTTGTTGTAACATGTTGAGAATGTAAACAGGGAAGTGACTGATTTATCAGATAGCTGTCAGATTGATTGTCAGAACGACTAACACACTGATTACATTTCACATTTACATTTTAGTCATTTAGCAGACGCTCTTATCCAGAGCGACTTACAGTTAGTGAATACATATTTTTTTTTATACTGGCCCCCCGTGGGAATCGAACCCACAACCCTGGCGTTGCAAACGCCATGCTCTATCAACTGAGCTACATCCCTGCCGGCCATTCCCTCCCCTACCCTGGACGACGCTGGGCCAATTGTGCGCCGCCCATGAGTCTCCCGGTCGCGGCTGGCGGTGACAGAGCCTGGATTCGAACCAGGATCTCTAGTGGCACAGTTAGCACTGCGATGCAGTGCCTTAGACCACTGCGCCACTCAGGAGTACACTGTAGCTGTGGCAACTATTGATGATTGTGAAAGTAGGACAATCCATACAGATTGACTAAGTGGAATCAGTCAACTGTCAAGGCACTATCAGCTGTTTCTCCAATGCCCTTTACTCTAGTTTTGAGTTCCACAATTTCAACAGATTCCAAGTCATGTGAAATCCACTTCGGGCTCATTTCACAGTACATTTGAGCAGTCTTGTCTCCTCTGTTGAGGAACGCAGTGTCTGTACTGAAAGGTTAGTAATTCAATGCGTCTGGAGCCATACAGGATGACACAAAGCCCATTACTGCAGTCAGCGTCTACTGACCAGCAGGAAAGACAATGGGGAGTATTCAGGCTAAACACACTCCCTGATTTCTGATTACACACTCTCTCTGACTCACACCTAAAGCAAACATTGCCGCTCTCTCTGCCCTCCTGCTGTCAAAGGAAGCTAACAGTTTTTAACTGGTTTAATTTTAACTGCATCCTTCCTGCTCCAACCAGCACTCAAAAAATAAATAACCCATATATTATTGGCCTACTAATGGAAAACAAATACTCTGATTCTTGGAAATACAAGAGATGAGACCAGACACATCAGAATGTATCAAATCTGGCCTCTAGTGCTGAGCGATTAGTGCTTTTTGAAGTCGGTTCCATTTCGGTTGGATTATTACATTTTAAAAAATCAAGGTTTTTTATATATATATATTTTTAAACACCATTTTAGTAGTTCTTCAAAGTAAATAAGGCATACTTTTATGACTGCTGAATACCAACTATCAATCACTTAGATCATGTATCACACCCCAAATCTAATGACAACATTAAAATCTGTAAATTCCGATTTTTACATCAACAAAACCTTAAATGTATTGCATTTTTTATCGCTTATCAAAATGAAAAGAAACCAATAAACACATTCACTCAATAAAATAGTATCTTTCAAATTAGATTTCTCAAAAACGTGTACATTGTCCCATACAATAATCTGTATTCTTAATTCTTCGTTCCCCCCATTATCATTTTTTTTACAGTTTGACGACCCCACTGCAGTTCCCCATCGACCCCGACTTTGAATACCACTGATGTAGAATATTGGCCTGTTGGAAACTACAACTCGCTACTACAGCGCACTCAAAGTATTCAGACCCCTTGACTTTTTCCACATTTTGTTACATTCCAACCTTATTCTAAAATGGTTGAATAAAACATTTTCCTCAATCTACACACAATAGCCCATAACGACAAAGCGAAAACAGGTTTTTAGAAATTTTTGCAAATCTATACACACAAAAAAACACTTATTTACATAAACAATCAGACCCTTTGCTATGAGACTCGAAATTGAGCTCAGGTGCATCCTGTTTACATTTATCATCCTCGAGATGTTTCTACAACTTGCAGTCCACCTGTGGTAAATTCAATTGATTGGACATGATATGGAAAGGCACACACGTCTATATAAGGTCCCACAGTTCACAGTGCATGTCAGGGCAGAAACCAAGCCATGAGGTCAAAGGAATTGTCTGTAGAGCTTCGAGACATGATTGTGTCGAGACACAGATCTGGGGAAGGGTACCTAAACATTTCTGCAGCATTGAAGGTCCCCAAGAACACCGTGGTCTGCATCATTCTTAAATGGAAGAAGTTTGCAACCACCAAGACTCTTCCTAGAGCTGGCTGCCCTGCCAAACGGAGCAATCGGGGGAGAAGGGCCTTGGTCAGGGAGGTGACAGAGAACCCGATGGTCACTCTGACAGAGCTCCAGAGTTCCTCTGTGGAGATGGGAGTACCTTCCAGAAGGACAACCATCTCCGCAGCACTCCACCAATCAGGTGGCCAGACGGAAGCTTGGAGTTTGCCAAAAGGCACCTTTTTTATTTTTTTATTTTTTATTTAACCTTTATTTAAACCAGGTAAGCCAGTTGAGAACAAGTTCTCATTTACAACTGCGACCTGGCCAAGATAAAGCAAAGCAGTGCGATAAAAACAACACAGTTACATATGGGGTAAAACAAAACAGAAAGTCAAAAATATAACAGAAAATAGAAAATATATATACAGTGTGTGCAAATGTAGCAAGTTACGGAGGTAAGGCAATAAATAGGCCATAGTGCAAAATAATTACAATTAGTATTAACACTGGAGTGATAGATGTGCAGAAGATGATGTGCAAATAGAGATACTGGGGTGCAAATGAGCAAAATAAATAACAATATGGGGATGAGGTAGTTGGGTGGGCTAATTTCAGATGGGCTGTGTACAGGTGCAGTGATCGGTAAACTGCTCTGACAACTGATGCTTAAAGTTAGTGAGGGAGATAAGTCTCTCCAGCTTCAGAGATTTTTGCAGTTTGTTCCAGTCATTGGCAGCAGAGAACTGGAAGGAATGGCGGCCAAAGGAGGTGTTGGCTTTGGGGATGACCAGTGAGATATACCTGCTGGAGCGCAGACTACGGGTGGGTGTTGCTATGGTGACCAACGAGCTAAGATAAGGCAGGGATTTGCCTAGCAGTGATTTATAGATGGCCTGGAGCCAGTGGGTTTGGCGACGAATATGTAGTGAGGGCCAGCCAACAAGAGCGTACAGGTCACAGTGGTGGGTAGTACATGGGGCTTTGGTGACAAAACGGATGGCACTGTGATAGACTACATCCAATTTGCTGAGTAGAGTGTTGGAGGCTATTTTGTAAATGACATCGCCGAAGTCAAGGATCGGTAGGATAGTCAGTTTTACGAGGGCATATTTGGCAGCATGAGTGAAGAAGGCTTTGTTGCGAAATAGGAAGCCGATTCTGGATTTAACTTTGGATGCTTAATGTGAGTCTGGAAGGAGAATTTACGGTCTAACCAGACACCTAGGTATTTGTAGTTGTCCACATACTCTAGGTCAGACCGGTCGAGAGTAGTGATTCTAGTCGGGTGGGCAGGTGCCAGCAGCGTTCGATTGAAGAGCATGCATTTAGTTTTACTTGCGTTTAAGAGCAGTTGGAGGCTACGGAAGGAGTGTTGTATGGCACTGAAGCTCGTTTGGAGGTTTGTTAACACAGTGTCCAATGAAGGGCCAGATGTATACAAAATGGTGTCGTCTGCGTAGAGGTGGATCTGAGAATCACCAGCAGCAAGAGTGACATCATTGATATACACAGAGAAAAGAGTCGGCCCAAGAATTGAACCCTGTGGCACCCCCATAGAGACTGCCATAGGTCCAGACAACAGGCCCTCCGATTTGACACATTGAACTCTATCTGAGAAGTAGTTAGTGAACCAGGCGAGGCAGTCATTTGAGAAACCAAGGCTATTTAGTCTGCCAATAAGAATGCGGTGGTTTACAGAGTCGAAAGCCTTGGCCAGGTCGATAAAGACGGCTGCACAGTACTGTCTATTATCGATCGTGGTTATAATATCGTTTAGGACCTTGAGCGTGGCTGAGGTGCACCCATGACCAGCTCGGAAACCGGATTGCATAGCGGAGAAGGTACGGTGTGATTCGAAATGGTCGGTGATCTGTTTGTTAACTTGGCTTTCAAAAACTTTCGAAAGGCAGGGCAGGATGGATACAGGTCTGTAACAGTTTGGATCTAGAGTGTCACCCCCTTTGAAGAGGGGGATGACCGCGGCAGCTTTCCAATCTCTGGGGCAGCTAATTTTAGAAAGAAAGGGTCCAGATTGTCTAGCCCAGATGATTTGTAGGGGTCCAGATTTTGCAGCTCTTTCAGAACATCAGCGGTCTGAATTTGTGTGAAGGAGAAGCGGGGGGGGGGGGGGGGGGCATGGGCAAGTTGCAGCGGAGGGTGCAGAGCTGGTGACCGGGGTAGTGGTAGCCAGGTGGAAAGCATGGCCAGCCGTAGCAAAATGCTTGTTGAAATTCTCGATTATTGTAGATTTATCAGTGGTGATAGTGTTTCATAGCCTCAGTGCAGTGGGCAGCTGGGAGGACTCTCAGACCATGAGAAACAAGATTCTCTGGTCTGATGAAACCAAGATTGAACTCTTTGGCCTGAATGCCAAGCGTCACGTCTGGAGGAAACCTGGCACCATCCCTACGGTAAAGCATGGTGGTGGCAGCATCATGCTGTGGGGATGTTTTTCAGCGGCGGGGACTGGGAGACTAGTCAGGATCGAGGGAAAGATGAACATAGCAAAGTACAGAGAGATCCTTGATGAAAACCTGCTCCGGAGTGCTCAGGACCTCAGATTGGGGCAAAGGTTCACCTTCCAACAGGACAACGACCCTAAGCACACAGCCAAGATAACACAGGAGTGGCTTCAGGACAAGTCTCTGAATGTCCTTGAGTGGCCCAGCAAGAGCCTGGACTTGAACCAGACCTGAAAATAGCTGTGCAGCGACGCTCCCCATCCAACCTGACAGAGCTTGAGAGGATCTGCAGAGAAGAATGGGAGAAACTCCCCAAATACAGGTGTGCCAAGCTTGTAGTGTCATACCCATGAAGACTCAAGGCTGTAATCGCTGCCAAAGGTGCTTCAACAAAGTACTGAGTAAAGGGTCTAAATACTTATGTAAATGTGATATACGTTTTTTTATTTGTAATAAAAGTGCAAAAATGTCTAAAAACCTGTTTTTGCTTTGTCATTATGGGGTACTATGTGTAGATTAATGAGGAAAAAATACAATTTAATCCTTTTTAGAATAAGTCTCTGTAACGTAACAAAATGTAGAAAAAGTAAAGGGGTCTGAATACTTTCCGAATGCACTGTACATCGCACAGTTTGGGCTTGATCTGATTTATCGCTAGAGAAACTGCGCATTGAGCTAACAGAAAGAAGAAGAAAAAAATAATGGAATTTAAATAATCAGTCAATTAGTTGTATAAAAAACAAATTATTATCAACATTTTAGTTCATCGCTCAACACTACTGGCCTATGATCAGCCTGTACTGTTGTGACACTATGATAAACCACAGTTTTTGGAGTGGAGTTTGACATCAGAGCACACCAGTGATCTGTCAATAAGTGATAACACAGAGGTGGTGTGGTGACAAAGTGACACGTACTGTCTGTCTCTCTCCTGAGGTCATCCACCATCCCACAATCCCCAGCTTCCTGGCCTCGTCTGATGACATCGCTGGAGGAGGGGAGAGAAGGAGGAGGAGTGGGTCGTCCCCTGGCGTAAGGCTTTGGATCTTCCCGTTCCCACGGAAACACAGCAGAGGGAGTGGAGGAGTCTGATTGGTGTGACAGGCGCCGGTGGGGCGTGCCCTTGGCTTGTTGTTGTGGGAACATGGGCGTGGGTGAGAATGCAGGTTCTGCGAACTTGAGATGTTGCTGAAGGTGGGAGGAAAAAAGAGAGAGGGAGAGAGGGATGAAAACAAGTGCAGCTACAGCACGGTGTTATCGCACTGTGAACCCATATGGTAGGATGACAGAGAATACACTGTGTTCAGAACATGTGTGGCTGGTTGGCTGAGAAGGCCTCAGTTTTAGGTTTTGAACTCACTCTGACGTGTAGTGATTTATTGTCCCCCTCTTCACTCTGTCCCTGCCTGTCCTCCTGTCTCCCACCTACTGGGACACAACATCCATAGTTAAGTTCCTCAGCAACACTAAGACTCAGCTAAGAAAGAGCTCTCCTGACATACACAGCCTGAGACCAGGACCAAAGGGAGAGAAGACTAGGAGTGCCATGGGGGAAAATGGAAGGAAGATAGCAAGAGAGAGAAAAAGGGTGGTGCGAGAGGAAATCAATAGAGTGAGTAGAGTGTGCTGTACCATTGTGGTCCCGTGGTGATGTCATATTCCAGCATGGGGTGGAAAACAACATGGAATCTCCAGAGCTGCTAGTGGTCTGTAACTTCTCTAGCTCCGCCTCCAACCTGAGAGAGAGAGAAACACAGGAAACCAAGGACAGATAAATGTGTTTTAAAGCCAGACATTGAACTGCACACCCACACCCTCCTTCTGTGCATATAAACATAATAAAAAATGTTATGCCACTAAGCAGTTCCTAATCTCAAACATTCCAAGACATGTTCCACTTCCATACACACATTAACTCAACACACACACCTGTAGCTGCTGCTACTCACCTTTTGACCTCCTTTTCGAGGGTGTGTGTGAGGGTTCGTGCCGAGCCCAGCTGTCCCTCAAGTGAACACACCTGGGCCTGTTTCACTTGGAGATCCTGAGAGAGACGCTCCCGCGCACACACACCTGCCTGCACCTCCTCACGAGCCCCCTGTAACTCCCTCTGTACACACTGCAGCTCCCCGCGCACCTCCTCATACTGGAGAGGAGAGGGGAGAGGAGATGGGCAGACAGAGGATAGATATCAACTCAATAATACCAGGAAAACCCCTATCTACTTCCTGACATACAAGTAGTATACAGACACTAGTCTGGGTGCCAGTCTGTTTGTGCTTTAACCAACTTTGCATGACGACAACAACATAGCAATTGGCTAAAAGCAACAACAGACTGGTGTTTAGGCTACTAAGGACAAACATGACTAAAGCAGAAGGGTTTTCACAGCATAAGGGAATAATGAGAGGAGAAGCACCTTAAACAGGTGTTAAACCAGCTGAGCAAAGTGCTGCATTGCTATTGTTCTTTTTACAGCTCAATCTCTTATCTATCTCTACTGTAATCATCACCTACTCGGGTGACAACTTTCTCTGCCTAACTTGGACTTGTTCGTGCAGTACCTTGACAGTCTGTTTGTTGAGGGAGGTCTGTGTGCTGTCTAGCTGCAGCTGTTTCTGCTGTCTCTCTCGGTTCAGCCTCTCTTGCTGGACCTGCAGCTCCTTGACCTTCTGCAGGGTCCGGCCAGACAGGCCCACCGTCCAGTCCTCCTCTGCCCAGCTCATCTCCTCCCGATCAGGGTAGATCTCTCAGACACCAGGGTTGGTACACTGGAGAACCAGCCTGGTAAGACCAATACGCCCCAGGAAGTTAATGCTGGAATAGAAAGACACAGTGCCGTTCAATAAAGAAGAAGAAAAATAGGAAGTAGATAGATGAAGAAGAATCAAATAAGAAGAAGAACAAGGTGTGTGTAGGTGTGTCTCAGTCTGAACCGCTTTAAGGAATACCTGGGATAGGATAAAGTAATCCTTCTACCCCCCCCCTCCCCTAAAAAAATAAAAAATTAAATAATAATAATTGTAAAGTGGTTGTCCCACTGGCTATAGGGTGAATGCACCAATTTGTAAGTCGCTCTGGATAAGAGTGTCTGCTAAATGACGTAAATGTAAACATGCTTCAATCCATCTTGGAGCTTGCCTTAGTTTGAACCTTGTAACCAAGAGTATATTTATTTTTCACAGTAGAGCTGTGGGGACTGGGGAGTGTGACTCAGTGTTTTCCTAGGAGACAGAGCTTGCCAGTTTCCATCAACACAACAACACCGACCGCCTCCTTCAGGGATAGGCCACCTTTAAGGAAGCATGATTCAAATCTATTTTCTTTGAATGTTTAGTATTTTATTTGTTCGTCTACACAACACATTTCCTGTAACAGTGTGTGCATGTTTTCACTTTTGCAATAGCCTACGGTTTTGACAGCTCCTCTGGCTTATAGCCATGACAATAACACCAGAAAGAGGCAATGAGATACACAGAGACGGTTTGAGCCAAGGAATGAAGAAAATCCTGATTAAGGATCATGATATCACCCAACCCATCACGGCTCAATCAAGTCCCTCCACGCAAAGGCATGTAGCTATGCACCCTGAGCTGTAACTGCACCTCAGGCTACAACCGGATAGATAGAGGCTGCGTCCCAATGGCATCCTATTCCCTATATAGTGCAATACTTTTGACCAGGGGGCCCAAAAGTACTGGACTATATAGGGAATAGGGTGCCATTTGGGACAGTCAGAGAGAGAGGTCCTTAAAGAGAGAGGAGAATTTCCTGGTTGTCATTGCTCAATGTTATGTCATTGTTTATGTAGAGTTTCTGCCTGTAAAGAATGAGTCAATGAAACGCCACGTAAATAAAGGATGCTGGTTTGAACTGAACTGACAGCAGGTCAGACAGTAGAATCCTACACAATGATGACATGACAGTCACCTGCACTGACAGTGTTGAGAATGGCAATGTATGGCTGGCATTGCAAGACTATTGTTTTAGTCTCTCTCTCTAGTGTGACAACAATCACATTGTGGTTAGAATGTAAAGTAGGCATGGTCACATGCTGCTTTTACACCGTCCTACATGCTAGGTAGAGGCCATAGTGCCATTCACAGCTCAGCCGTCTGAAAATGTTAACAGTATTTAGCTACAGCTGATCATAGCAACAGAGTTGCTGAAACTGAATGGACCATGATGTGGCCCTTCCTTGGAAATACTGCTTGACAATAAATAACGTGCTTAGGAGACAGCTGTGGCAACGTTGCTCAGACCAACAAGACACATATTTACATTTACATTACATTTTAGTCATTTAGCAGACGCTCTTATCCAGAGCGACTTACAGTTAGTGAATACATCATTTTTTTTTTTTGAATCGGTCTCTTCAGGATTGTAACTTGTCTTCAACAACTTGGATGAAATCAGGAAAGTGGAGGCAGACAATATTGTTGTCTGTTTGATTCACTGAAAGTACACACCATGCAACACACAATGGCATTGTTTTGAATATTCAAATACTAGTTAGCTAGTTGAACTTTGAATAAACTTGTCTTTCCTTTAGCTAGAAATGTAACCACAGCAGAAAGGAGTAAAAAAAAAAGCTAGCCACCTAGACAGTATTGACAATTCTACACTGCCATTATTTTGCCAGCAATGTAACGTTAGCTAGCTAGTTAAAGTTAGCCAAACCAGACTAGCCGTTAGCCAGCTAGCCTCTAGCTCGCTATGATGACTTACCATTTATGTCGCAATCCTGTTTATATTGATGTGAAATCTAAATGCTCCAACTCAATAACTTCAGATACACTTCGATTTGTTAATTCACAGGTGCCGGAGTACAAGTTTAATGGAAATATTTCAGCAGCCGCGTGTCTGATGATGGTTTCGAAATTTTCTCGCATTTCATTTCAACAACTGCATGCTAAAAGCCGCGAGTCTCGTGCCGCCTGACAAGCCAACAAAAAAACCATTCGCCATGAGAGGGGGTCGGTGACGTATGGCCAGAAGAGAGGGGGTAAACTTAGGAGTCCTCGCGGCGACGAATGCCTCTTTGATGACACCTAGCGATGAAAGACGATACCTATGATGAAACTAAGAGAGAGCTTTTCAAGAGGGGGTCTTTAGCTTTTGTTTAGCCTTAGACGACAAGTCATTCCATTATCAATCAATGCAGAAATTACAATCATTTTTTTAAAAACAGGAAGATCACTTTTTCTCTGGATACAAATTCTGTCCATGTTATGTCCATATTGTAATATTAGGCCCACTGACTAGTTTGTGAAACAGATACAAATTGATAAATTGCCAACATTGCCAACTTCAAGGACAACCTATTTTTTAAAACAGTCTATATGAAAACAAAAGCATCTGAAAGATGACAGTAATGCCCAGTACTATTATGTTCAGACTACATAACATGAGTGTGTCATCCATTATAGGGCATCTCCGTGATGCTCCCCCTACCCCCATCCACCTTCTCCCCCCTACCCCATCCATCCACCCACCCTCCCTACCCCCATCCACCCACTCCCACTCCCCCTACCCCCATCCACATCCACCTGCTCTCCCCTACCCCCGTCACGTCTCGCTTCCAGACAAGCTAAACACCTTCTTCGCCCGACGTGATTAAGACATTTAAGCATGTTAACCCCCGCAAGGCAGCCGGCCCAGACGGCATCCCTAGCCGCGTCCTCAGAGCATGCGCAGACCAGCTGGCTGGTGTGTTCATGGACATATTCAATCTCTCCCTTTCCCAGTCTGCTGTTCCCACATGCTTCAAGATGGCCACCATTGTTCCTGTACCCAAGAAAGCAAAGGTAACTGAACTAAATGACTATCGCCCTGTAGCAGTCACCTCTGTCATCATGAAGTGCTTTGAGAGACTAGTCAAGGATCATATCACCTCTACCTTACCTGTCACCATAGACCCACTTCAATTTGCTTACCGCCCCAATAGATCCACAGACGATTCAATTGCCATCACACTGCACACTGCTCTATCCCATCTGGACAAGAGGAATACCTATGTAAGAATGCTGTTCATTGACTATAGCTCAGCATTCAACACCATAGTACCCTCCAAGCTCATCATTAAGCTCGAGGCCCTGGGTTTGAACCCCGCCCTGTGCAACTGGGTCCTGGACTTCCTGACAGGCCGCCCCCAGGTGGTGAAGGTAGGAAACAACATCTCCACTTCGCTGATCCTCAACATTGGGGCCCCACAAGGGTGCGTGCTCAGCCCCCTCCTGTACTCCCTGTTCACCCATGACTGCGTGGCCAAGCACACCTCCAACTCAATCATCAAGTGTGCAGACGACACAACAGTAGTAGGCTTGATTACCAACAATGACGAGACCGCCCTATGGGAGGAGGTGAGGGCTCTGGGAGTGTGGTGCCAGGAAAATAACCTCTCACTCAACATCAACAAAACAAAGGAGATGATCGTGGACTTCAGGAAACAGCAGAGGGTGCACCCCCCATATCCACATAGACGGGACCGCAGTGGAAAAGGTGGAAAGCTTCAAGTTCCTTGGCGTACACATCACCGACAAACTTAAATGGTCCACCCACGCAGACAGTGTGGTGAAGAAGGCGCACCTCAGGAGGCTGAAGACATTTGGCTTATCACCTAAAACCCTCACAAGCTTTTACAGATGCACAATTGAGAGCATCCTGTCGAGCTGTATCCCCGCCTGGTATGGCAACTGCACCGCCCACAACTGCAGGGCTCTCCAGAGGGTGGTGCGGTCTGCCGAACGCATTACCGGGGGCAAACTACCCGCCCTCCAAGACACATACAGCACCCGATGTCACAAAAAGATAATCAAGGACATCAACCACCCGAGCCACTGCCTGTTCACCCCGCTATCATCCAGAAGGCGAGGTCAGTACAGGTGCATCAAAGCTGGGACCGAGAGAATGAAAAACAGCTTCTATCTCAAGGCCATCAGACTGTTAAATAGCCATCACTAGCACATTAGAGGCTGCTGCTGCCTATTGAAATAACTGGCCACTTTAAGAAATGGAACACTAGTCACTTTAATAATGTTTACATATCTTGCACTACTCATCTCATGTGTATAGACTGCATTCTATTCTATAATATTGATCTGTATCTTAGTCCATGCCGCTCTGTCATTGCTTGTCCATAAATGTATATATTCTTAAATCCCATTCCTTACTTTTTTGTATGTATTAGGTATATGTTGTGTAATTGTTAGATATTACTGCACTGTCGGAGCTAGAAGCACAAGCATTTCATTTACATTTACATTTTAGTCATTTAGCAGACGCTCTTATCCAGAGCGACTTACAGTTAGTTATTTCGCTACACCAACTATAACATCTGCTAAACACGTGTATGTTACAAATAAAAATTGATTTGATTTGATCCACCCACTCCACCTACCCCCCATCCACCCACTCTTCCTACCCCCATCCACCCACTCCCTCCTACCCCATCCACCCACTCCCTCCTACCCCCATCCACCCACTCCCTCCTACCCCCATCCACCCACTCCCTCCTACCCCATCCACCCACTCCCTCCTACCCCTATCCACTCACTCCCTCCTACCCCCATCCACCCACTCCTTCCTACCCCATCCACCCACTCTCCCTACCCCATCCACCTGCTCCCCCCTACCCCATCAACCCGCCACCCGCCTCCCCCTACCCCCATCCACCCACTCATCCTACCCACATCCACCCGCTCCCCATCCCCATCCACCCTCTCCCTCCTACCCCCATTCAACCCCCTACACAAATATTGCTGCTGTGATTGAACGCTGTGGTATTTCATCCAATAGATATGGGAGTTTATCAAAATTGGATTTGTTTTCTAATTCTTTGTTGGTCTGTGTAATCTGAGGGAAATATGTGTCTCTAATATGGTCATACATTTTGCAGGAGGTTAGGAAGTGCAGCTCAATTTCCACCTCATTTTGTGGGCAGTGTGCACATAGCCTGTCTACTCTTCTGCCTTGGGCAACCTTTCTCAGTAGCAAGGCTATGCTCACTGAGTCTGTACATAGTCAAAGCTTTCCTTAATTTTGGGTCAGTCACAGTGGTCAGATATTCTGCCACTGTGCACTCTCTGTTTAGGGCCAAATAGCATTCTAGTTTGCTCATTTTTTTTTTTTTAATCTTTTTTTTTTAACTAGGCAAGTTAGTTAAGAACAAATTCTTATTTACAATGATGGCCTACCAAAAGATAAAAGGCCTCCTGCGGGGACGGGGGCTGGGATAAAAATAAAAGTATAGGACAAAACACACATCACGACAAGAGAGACACCACAACACTACATAAAGAGAGACCTAAGGCAACAACATAGCATGGCAGCAACACATAACAACACAGCATGGTAGCAACACCACATGACAACAACATGGTAGCAACACAACATGGCAGCAGCACAACATGGTAGCAGCACAAAACATGGTACAAACATTATTGGGCACAGACAAACATTATTGGGCAAATACAATTTTTTGCTAATTCTTTCCAATGTGTCAAATAATTGTCTTTTTGTTTTCTCATGATTTGGTTGGGTCTAATTGTGTTGCTGTCCTGGGGCTCTGTGGGGTCTGTTTGTGTTTGTGAACAGAGCCCCAGGATCAGCTTGCTTAGGGGACCCTTCTCCAGGTTCATCTCTCTGTAGGTGATGGCTTTGTTATGGAAGGTTTGGGAATCACTTCATTTTAGGTGGTTGTAGAATTTGGATTTTGACAATTAGCGGATATCGGCCTAATTCTGCTCTGCATGCATTATTTGGTGTTTTACGTTGTACACAGAGGATATTTTTGCAGAATTCTGCATGCAGAGTCTCAATTTGGTGTTTGTCCCATTTTGTGAATTCTTGGTTGGTGAGCGGACCCCAGACCTCACAACCATAAAGGGCAATGGGTTCTATAACTGATTCAAGTATTTTTAGCCAGATCCTAATTGGTATGTCAAATGTTATGTTCCGTTTAATGGCATATAAGGCCCTTCTTGCCTTCTCTCTCAGATAATTCACAGATTTGTGGAAGTTACCTGTGGCGCTGATGTTTAGGCCGAGGTATGTATAGTTTTTTGTGTGCTCTAAGGCAACGATGTCTAGATGGAATTCGTATTAGGCCTCCTGTAGCTCAGTTGGTAGCGCATGGCGCTTGCAACGCCAGGGTTGTGGGTTTGATTCCCAAGGGGGGCCAGTATGAAAAATGCATGCACTCACTAACTGTAAGTCACTCTGGATAAGAGCTTCTGCTAAATGACTATAATGTATAATGTATTTGTGGTCCTGGCAACTGGACCTTTTTTGGAACACCATTATTTTTGTCTAACTGCGATTTACTGTCAGGGCCCAGGACTGACCGAATCTGTGCAGAAGATCTAGGTACTGCTGTAGGCCCTCCTTGGTTGGGGACAGAAGCACCAGATCATCAGCAAACAGTAGACATTTGACTTCAGATTCTAGTAGGGTGAGGCCGGGTGCTGCTGACTGTTCTAGTGCCCTCGCCAATTCGTTGATACAGTTGAAGTTAGAAGTTTACATACACCTTAGCCAAAAATGTAAACTCAGTTTTTCACAATTCCTGACATTTAATCCTAGTAAAAATTCCCTGTCTTAGGTCAGTTAGGATCAACACTTTATTTTAAGAATGTGAAATGTCAGAATAATAGTAGAGAGAATGATTTATTTCAGCTTTTATTTTTTCATCACATTCCCAGTGGGTCAGAAGTTTACATACACTCAATCAGTATTTGGTAGCATTGCCTTTAAATTGTTTAACTTGGGTCAAACGTTTCGGGTAGCCTTCCACAAGCTTCTCACAATAAGTTGGGTGAATTTTGGCCCATTCCTCCTGACAGAGCTGGTGTAACTGAGTCAGGTTTGTAGGCCTCCTTGCTTGCACACGCTTTTTCAGTTCTGCCCACATATTTTCTATAGGATTGAGGTCAGGGCTTTGTGATGGCCACTCCAATACCTTGACT